GCGCTGTAATCGCGCGTTTCGCGCGAAATGATAATTTGGAATAAAAAATAAAAAATTCTGGTCTAAACCAAATACACAAAATTCATGAAAAATTCTTAAAAAAGAACATATTCGAAAGAAAATATTCATACAGTAGATAAAAAATTGTCAATACTTTAAACTGTTATAATTTCTAGTGAAAAAAAATTCTAGAACAATTAACTTGATTTTATTTTAAAGAATGAAATCTCCACTTTAACAATTCTAAGTTTGTTTCGTTCAAAGATATTTACTTTTATATCATGTAGCAAGTGCAAAAGTAAGAATACTTTTATTATATAATAAATTTTGTTATATATATAATAAATTTTTTATCCTAATTTCCACTAATCTCTGTTTTAAATCGTTATATTCCTTTCTATATTGATGAAGTACCACATTCAATACAATAAATAATTCTGGCAACACTGTCCATATTTTTTTATTTCTGCGGTGCAATACTTGCCTAAGTCGATATGACAGGATGTGACACGAAAATGGTAAGCGGGTCATATGACTCCCCAAAACTTGAGATACGAAATTAGATGTCTGGTCTGTGCAAGTTAGTCAATAATTGGATGCAATGTCTATTCATATATCTCGTCTGTGATCTGGTCTTTGATACGAAGTCATCTTGCCGTGAAGATTACAAGATATCTTCTTTACCAGTACGTGACGTTTCATGCATAATCAATTTTCTATAACAAGATGGCAGTGCATGACAAAATAATACTTATCGATTTTTTCGTGTAAATTAAATCTTACGTTTATCGTTAAATTATCTTCTTATATAATAAAGAATCGCTATTTGAACTATTTAATCTAAATTTTTTTTTAATCTAAAGTTTTTTATTACTACGAAAATTTAAAATTGTAAGTAGTTTAGCGCCAAAATTGAATCGTTTCTTTTCTACAGTGTGGCGCTGCCGTCACCTCGTGCTGGACATGCTGCACCTGAATTCATACCGCCATATTGTCTTTCATGAGCAAGGAAAAACATTGTGATTACGTGGAATGATTTTGCTCGAAATTCAAGAGAAGTTTATTATTCGGTGTACTTGGGATTTCATTATAACTGTTAGCTATACACGTGCAAAAGATCAAGAATAAATCAGACTGCGATTGACAAGTAACTACACAGGTATGTTGGTCACCTTCTAGAAACCTCGTGTTGGTGTGACTCGCCTAGCGGCTTTCCTTTGTTATCTTTTAGTTACCGCATTATAAACGTTATAAAGTTTCTAAATTGCTTCTAATTAATGTTTGAGACAAATGTTCATTTAAGAAAATACGATTGCCTATCGAGCAATTGACTGCCGATATACGATTCGAACGCGATGGCTGAGGTTATTATTTTCACAGAACGTGATTCTTGGAACTTGTGAAAATTCGATGACCACAATATGGGCCTATTATTTCATTATATATTGTATATTATATATTATTCGATTGATTACTTTAACTACGTGCTTCGTCTTGTCAATCTCAGTAATCTCTTCGTTTTCTTCGAGTGTATCGCGTGTCGACTTTTTCTCTTATTATTGTGAAATATCGACACAGTCGATAATCGTAATTAGGAAGTTTTCGAATAGTGCACATTTGGGAATACATGCACAGCACGTTCGTGGAATCTTTTTACTCCAATTCCCCATTCCACGTTTACTTCTTGCATATTCCTCTTTTTCCTATGATTCTATTTTCATATTGCACGAGCTGAAACACGTCGATTTAAATACACTATATACAAACTTACTAGATTATAACAGATGTTTTTAGTTGCCGTCAAGAAATCATGTTACATCGATATTTTTTTTTCACATTGGTTATCTTGTTCAATTGTTAACAACAACCGATAAAATATATTTCAAAAGCAGGCGTTTGGCAGCCGTTTGGTTTTACATTATAATATAGCGTGTTGTGGTACTCTTCCGTGGTGTACGGGCATTTAAAGGGTCAACAGACTGTGGAGTTACTTTTAGTTACATGCTATTTCTAAGATACGTCTGTTCGGTTTTCGATCGCCTTGCTTCCTAAGGTAGTTGTCCCTGAATATGGCATTGATATCCGTGTAATATTCAACTCATCGTTCAACCGTAATCACGTGATCATCTGTATGAAATCGAAATTCCTTTTATTGCTTATTTAAGTTTTGGACTTATTTTATAGTAATAAATAATATTTAAATAATAATAAATAATAATTATTATTTAATAAATAATATTTAATAAATAATAAATAATTTAATTTAATATTATTTAATAAATAATAAATAAATATATTATTTAAAAAATAATAATATAAATATAAACTTGACATGTCGATAAACGAAATATGTTAATCAAAATGTAATTCACCAGTTGCAATATAAAATTTGTTATACTCGCTGTTATACTACTTTTATATGTATATTATATATAATACATAATTAGAGTTATTCCTAGTTTTAGTTTAAATAAATTAATTGAAATCATCGCGAATTCAGATATTCCTGTGAACATACAAGGTCAATCTCGTGTTAGACAACGGCGGATTAATATGTTTCCTTGAATTTGTCGATGGATGAGTATACTATCAGTGTATTGCAGATATATTATAGATATATTGATGTAAACACAAGACATTTAATGTACAGCGATAGGAAATAAAGTCATCAAATCTACGACGAGTGATCGTAGACTAGTTAGTTTCACTTTTAATAACATTTTGATTATTATATCTCGATAACGGTATCTACTACTGATATTTCCGGTATTTGAATTTTTTCCATAGTATTAGTCATCGATATCAGCGCGTTTTACATAACATCATAATGGTTGAAAAATTTCGTAACAATGTTTCGATCGATCCTTGATCCATAACACATTAATTATCGCATTGATTGTATTACATAAATTGAAATTCTAAGCTTTTATCCGTCTGAAGAAGCTCGTGAACGCTTGATCTGAAG